GACCCCACTGACTCCAGGAGCTGAGACCAGAGCCCCGACGTGCCTGCACCCCCCATCTGACTTCAGTAGCTGCCACCAAATCCACTTGCGCTGGTCCCCCCAGTAACTGGCACTTCTCCTTGCAGCCCTCGCGCCCACGGGATACAGAGGGATCATGCAAACCGATAGTTAAGAAAGGATTTAACGAGAAGGTAGGACAGACTGCGGTGATCAGATGCAGGGCTGGGTCAGACAAACGCACTGACCGGCTCCCTTTTATACCCCTTTCTGCCTGTTCCTCCTCGGTTCCTCCCCAGTCCCCTTCCCCTGCACGTTCCTCCATCACTTTTCACAGTCACACCGACACCCGTGAGCATCCTGGACCCACAGGTCCAGAGGCTGCTTTTGTGCAACCCAGGGAACAGACTATTTTATAGACACAAAGCATACATGTGGGTGGCAGGGAGCTCCCAAAGGATGTCTCTTCTTCCAGGAGCAAATCCAGTCGCAGCTGGAGAGCCTCAGGAGAGAGAAAGGAGAACTGGAGAAACAGGAAAGGAAGGAGCAATGGATCTGCCAGGACTATCTGGTAGGTGCACGGCACTACCAGGAGCAAGTTTGGGGAGGGTGAAGAAAAGTTGATTCTTGGCCTTCAGTGTTGGGATGTTAAATTGTTGTGTCCAGCTGTTGGTGCACGATAAGCACCCTGGGAATCACAGTCATGCTCCACACCAGAAAGTAAAAGCTGTGGATGCGTTTAATTGCTGCCTGTCCTTTTCCACGGTCCCACCCTCCCTTGAGAGGATTGTTTCTGCTCACAAAGGAAAAAGTGAAGACAGAGCGGCAGAAGATTGTGCCTGAATTTAAGCAACTGCGACAGTACCTGGACGAACAAGAGTGCCTGCTGCTGGCTCAACTGGGAGAGCTGGAGAAGCAGATTACAAGAAGATTGAAGGAAAATGCTGCTGAATTCTCCAGGAAGATTATTTATCTGGATGGCCTGATCAAGGAGAAGGAGTGTCAGCTGTCAGGACATGAGTCCCCACAGGTGAGGTCTGCTGAAACACCAGCTCTGGTTTGGCAAACAGCACGTGAGGCACCAGCAAAGGAAACACGCGACGGGCTAATCTGACCTCAATTATCTTACCTCTTAACCTTCCCTTGCTGGTGTGTCTGTGCACTGCGTAAGGGGAACGTGAGGAATGCGTGTGCACTGAGCTGCTTCTCTCTTTCTCCTCTCTAGGATGCTGGTGATGTTTTGAGCAGGTATGTGTTGCTTTCTCCTTTACATCACACTGCTGCTTTGGGGTTGCAAAGATTCCTGCCCCAGAACAAAGCTGGATACCTCAAATACCAGGGATGCCCCATTGATGTTCATATTTCAGTTTTCCAGAGGCTGATGAACCAGCAGGACTCTACCAAGAAAGTCCATCCCTGGGGAAATATTACAGGAGGACATTTCATTTCTAAGGTCTCTGGTTCCAAGCCTAGTTAACTTCTCTGTGACCGATGTGTAGTGGCACTAAGGCATAGAGACCGGGGCATGGTGCCCTCGACTCAGGGCTTCAGCACCTGCTTGTGAGGCAGGTTTGCCCTGAAGGGACAGGGTGACTGAGGCCACCAGGACCACCACTCATAATACAAGTTTAATTGGCAATTAGAATATCAGGTCAGAGTAGTGACCTAGCCAATGAGACCTGCTATCTCTCTTCTTGTTGATGCTCTTGTGTGCTGGTTTTTTAAACAAACAAACAAAAAAACCCCCAAACCTTTGGAATGAACTTTGTGGAGGGTATTAATTCAGCTGGAAAGTGGCCTCTAGCAACTGACACTAACAGGAGACTGAGTTAAAGGAGGAATTGAAATGCTGTGGCTTGTATGACTCCAGGTGCGAGAGGGCAAAACTCCAGCAAAAGGAGCAGATGAGCAATGAGCTGAAGAAAGGGCCCGGCATCCGCTCAGAAAAAGCTCCCATGCTAGAGGAGACAGCAAGAAAACCTCAAGGTACAAAGAAGGGATCTCGGAGGAGAACAGAGAAGCATCCTGGGGGTGGAAAGAACGAGGGTAGTCAGTGCGCTGCAGGAAGGAGAAAAAGCCAAAATCCTTGTGTAGCATCTCCTGGGGACATATTCGAGAGGTGTCCCAGCTAAAGTGGGAGGGTGTTCCTGCCCCCACTCCTCCTCCCCGCCCTGCTCTTTCTTGATCTCTATTTGGTTTTATTTTTCCCCAAAAGAACAGTCAATGTTCGTGTTGGTTCACATCATCAGCTATGGAGCCCGCTAATAAATTGCTGTGCACGTGAACCTGTTTCAACACCCTCTGTGCAACACTCGACTTGGATGCTGCCACAGCTCCTTCTTCTCTAGATCTGTGCTCCAGACCCGCTCCCTGGTCAGAAGCAGGTCAGGGATGTGAACAAGTCCCAGACGTCCCAACGTGCCCAAATGATTCTCAGCTCATGCTCTCCTAATTAGGAGGCTTATCCCCAAAGAAGCAATTGAAATGACTGTCAGGCAGACCCTGGCATCATGCAGAGCAGTTTAGGCTGGAAAGGACCTCTGGAGGTCATCTTGTCCAAACCTCTGCTCGAAGTGGGTACAACTAGGTGGGATTGCTCTGTGTTTTCTCCAGTTGAGTTCTGAGTATCTCTGAAGACAAAGATCCCACAAGTCCTCAAACCACCTTGGTGACCCTCTAGATGTGCTGCAGTATGTCAATGTCCATTTCCTGCTAGGAAGCCCCAAATTCTTTTTTGCTCCTGCTGCTTCAGGTTTCTTCCTTCCTGCTTCAACTGGGGAAGCCAGCAGGCACAGCAAGCCATGTGTGCCCTGGGGAAGGAACGATGCAGTATCTCTGCTCACCAGCTTCCCGGAGCTGGTCTCCACAAAGTACCTCCCAGTGCTGGTGGTGTCATCCAGATGTCAGGTGACCTCTGGGCTCCGTCTCTTCCAGATGCTTTGATGACTGCCGCAGGGCTAGGAGTGGAGGAATCACAGGGACTGTACACTAAAGGTGAGTTCCGCTGGGGAGCCTCCTCCCATTAACACTGGTTGTGAGAGATGCAGCACGTGTTTTGGGGACAGTGAATTTTCACATGCCTTGGGGCACGGAGCTGCTCTGCATTTTGAGCTGGGCACCTTCTAGAAGAAAAGTGTTGCCAAGTTTCCTCCCAAGCCAGGACCAAACATGGACCCAGCACGGTAAAACTGTTCCCAGGACTGATCTCTTCCCCTCGTTCTTTGACCATTCTGCTCTCTTGCAGTGAACGTGACTCTGGATCCAGACACAGCTCAGTCTCGGCTCATCTTGTCAGAAGATCAGAGAAGTGTGATGCAGGGAGCCACTCAGCAGAGCCGGCTTGACAACCCCAAGCGATTTGACCTGTGGCCTTGCGTGCTGGGCTGCAAGGGATTTGACTCAGGGCAACCATGCTGGGAGGTGGAGGTGGGCTATGGGTCGTGCTGGGCTGTTGGGGTGGCCCTGGAGTCTGTGAAGAGGAAGGGACCGATTGACATGAGCCCACTGGGGGGGATCTGGGCGGTGGGACAGTATAAGGAGAAGTTCCAGGCTCTCACTTCCCCAGTTCCCACCCCTGTCCTTCCCAGCATCATCCCCCAGAGGGTGCGGGTCTGTCTGGACCATGCCAGGGGGCGGGTGATGTTTGTCAACGTGGACAGCGAGGCTGTGATTTTCACTTTCCCGCAAGCCACGTTTGCGGGGGAGCAAATCTACCCCTGGTTCTGGGTGGGTAAGGGGTCCCAGCTCAAACTGTCCTGAGACCTGAGGAGGTGTGTCCCTCCAAGGAGGCTGTGCTGGGGCCACCCTGCCCTCCTGCATCCCTATCTGGCTGGTCCTTAGGGACTCTCAACGCTTACAAATCTTCTGCCATCTCCATCAATCTCCTGCCGTGAGCCTCAAGGACTGAACTGTCTGTGGTGAGCAGGAGTTGCCTCGCTGGGAGCAGAAATCCATGGGTTTCCCCAGTCTTGGTCCTACCGCAGTGGAAGAGGCTTAGAGCAGGGCTCTGGGTGAAGAATAATAGAATTGTAGAATGATTCTAAGAATGGCCATTTCTGGGGAGCCATGAGGGGGGATTCCAGTGGCATTGGAGTGCCTAGTGAGGCACATTTTTACTTGAGGAAATGGGCAGGTGGGTCAGGAGGATGAAACCTTGCTCAGCAGCCCACCTGGCCACGGCATGATGCTCTGTAGCCCTGAAACCTGAGCAGATTCCATGTATTAGTCCCTGTGGTTGGCCTGATTTGGTTCTTGTGTTATCTTGAGGAAACACAAGTAAATATTCAGCTTTTTAGGAGGTGCTAGTAGGATTTCTGTCCCCCAAATAATTTTGTGGGTGGAATTGTGATCACTGCTTTTTAACAAATTAGTTTACCCAATAATTCTTCAATGTTCAGTTTGTTTCTCTGGTAATGGTGAGGCTCTTGGAAAGAAAATTTAGAGGTTTACATCTTCTCCGGCCAAAGAACTAATACCAGGAATTTGCTGAAGTTTAGGAAAAGGCTGTAGGAGTCGCTGATTTGAAACTTGCTGATGTGTAGAACTGCCAGGTTTTGTAGCATTGCATGGTAGAAGCAAAAAAAATGAATAACCAAAGTTATTAATAATTTATTAATTATTCATTAATAACCAATAAATAACCGAAGCTCACATGCTGGTCGAACAAATGTGAAACAAAACCCCATCCCACAAGACCTTGCCAACAGATCAGAAGGGCTTTGAACACATTGGCTCCGTCTGCTTCTGTTGAAAAAGCTGACTGTGAAAGGGAGTTGGGGGCTGGAGCAGAGGGGAAGGATTCAAAGAGAAACGATGCCACAAACACAAACTCTGCATGGGATGTTTCATACAACCTCTGGAAAGGGGTGTGTGTGAAAAAGCATCTGTGAAAATCATAGCTTGCTCAAGGGTGAAGCCCACCCCTTCTCCTTGCCCTGTGGCCAGAAGCCCACGGTGACCTGTTGAGTTGGGTGCTGCTGCAGGGTTTGATTCCAGCTCTTCCGGACACGTACCCAGCTGCCATGGTGCTCCAGCTGTGGGATGTCCACCTCCCTCCCAGTGTGCTCCTGGAAATGCAGAGCCACGGCCCTGGCAGGGGTAAGCTCTCCCTCCTGCACAGGCACGATGTCAGCTTTGGCACCAGGAGCTGAGGACGTGCTGGCACCAAGATGTGGACAGAAGGTTGGAGACCTTGTCTATTCCTACCAGGATTTGCCCTTCTTCTGTGCTCTGCCAGGAGCATGAGTTGCCCCTGCTTTTGGGATTGGCTCCTTGGATGGTGCCCTGGGTTGCTTTGCTGGATTGCTGGTCCCACAGATGTGCAGAGCCCAGGTGCAACAGGATGTCACCTGTCCCCGTACAGTGCCAGAGGGGTTGGTGAGCCCATCCCCTAGTGCCAGGGCAGGATATCTCTGCCTGACCCAGTGCTGCAACTCCTCCCAGCTACTGGAGTAGACTGGGGAGACCAATGCTGTTGCCTCTACCCAGCTGCCACCACAAAGGTGACAACTGACTTGGCACTAAGATGGTCCAACCAGCGATGTGGCTGGAGAAGAAGAAATCTAGGCTGGCAGAAATCTGTCAGTGTTTGAGAGGGATTTGGACAGTGTCCTTAATAATAAACTTTAACTTCTGGTCAGGCAGTTGGACTAGAGGATCGTTGTAGGTCCCTTCCACCTGAACTAGTCTAGTCTATCCTATATGAGGAAAAGGAGACCTTGATGGGGGGAGATCAGAGGATGGCAGATCTGTGGGAATTGCCTCGCCTGTGGGCTTCAGACGCTTCCCAATTTCTTGCTTACTTTCCTTGGCTGCCCCTGTAGCTTTTACTAGTGCTCTGCTGTAAGAAGTGTGCTTAACGCACATGTCAGCGAGAACTGGAAGTAAGGCAAGGAGAGGCCTTGGGTGTGTGGAGAAGATAAGCGTTATCATGAGCTCCAGCATCCAGCCATGTTTGGGTTTTGGTAGGTTTTTTGGTGGGTTTTTTTTTTTTTTTTTTTACTTAATGATTAAGCTCAATAGAAAAAAGCCAGAGATACTACTCCAGCACCTTTTAAGGAGTTTGAACTTGCTGTATTTTTTCATGGCCTTGTAGAAAGCAGCTCTGTGGTGCCCTGGCACTCAATGCCACTTCTCTGCCCTGGGGCCACCTGGCACCAAGCTCCTCCGTGCACCAAATCTCCGTGCTCCCTGTTGTCTCTGCAGTCCCAGCTCTGGGGTGGAGGGGATGAAGGAGGCTCTTTGGCAGCATCCATCTCCGAGACCTGCCAGTCCTCCCGACTGGTGGCCAGAGGAACCATGTGAGGAGAAGTCAGCAGGACACAGGACCCTCCCAGCTTCCGGCATCAAGACCCAAGATGATGGTGTTCACCTTTCCAGTCTTCCTTCCCACCCCACCTCCCCCAACGGTACGTCCACGTCAGGGGCACAGCTTGAGCCATGAGTCCATCCCCACCCAGAGCCACGGGCGTAGCCTCTCCCCAGGACATGAAGCCAGGCAGAAAGTAAAGATTGGAGCTTTGTTTTCAGCGTCAGCAAATGCCACCTGCCTGTCTGTGATGTCCAGGCAGACCTGGATGGCCCTGGGGAGGCAGGCAAGGTGCAGGGGGGTCCAGTCAGGGTCTGTGAAAGCATGGTATTGTCCAAACCACTGCCCCACGGCCCAGATCCCCTCCTGGGGGGTAAAACTGAGGACCCCCTTCCTCCTGACAGAATCCTGGGCCACCCCCACAGCCCACCAGTCTCCCCCCTCAGCCACCTCCACGTCCCAGCAGTGCCTCCCCGCGGCAAATCCCAGGCTGCCCAGCACGCACGGCTCCGTGTCAAACCGCTCGGGGTTGTTGGGCAGCGAAGTCCACTTGTCCCCCCGTCCCACGCCTCGCTGGTCACCAGCCAGGATGAGGAAGGGGTTGGCAGTGTCTGGGTCCAGGGTCATGTTGGCTGGGGATGGAGGAGGAGAAGCTGCTCAGGACAGGCAGCCCCAGGGTTGTGTTGGGGCTGCATCCATCCCAGCAAGAGAAGGGACAGGGCGATTTCTTTTCCCCTGCGCAGAGATGTCTGGCGTGGGGTGGGAAACCCCCTTGTGCTGGACTGCCCACCCCCCTCAGCGCTACCCTAATCCTGCCCCTGCTCCTGATCCAGGAGCTTCCGTGCGATTCCTGGCCAAGGAGACCTCAGTTTCCTGGAGGAGGATGCACCTGAGTTGGATGGGTGGTCATCTGCTGCACAGACACCTGGACCTGAGCTTGGGTGTCTCTAGTGCTGCAAGAGCCAAACAGGCACATCTGGGCACCAACCAGTGCAGACCGTGACAGACATTACCCCAAGCCCGATAACCTGTGGCCCCAAATTCCTGTTGCTTTCTGTGGGCAATGGAGGGAGCCAAGGATGACAGCTCAGGTGTCTTGGGTGTTGGTGGTGGGTCTACAGCATGAAGAATTCAGCTGGGGGTGTTGCAGTTGCCACGTCTCAAGCCCAGGCTGGGACAAGCGCCGGGTGCTTTGACCCTAAATAGCTCTTCCACAGCAGAAGCAGGATGCATTTTTCTCCTCGACAGAGGACAGTTCCCCCTCCTCTTCCCTTCTACAAACTCACCTCTTCCACTCATCTCCTCCACCTCATTGGCCAGGGTCTCCCTCTCTTCTCTCTCCATCCTGGATACCAGCAAGTCTGCAGAAAACCAACAGGAGGGGAGGCAGGATTCCCTGCTGAAAGTGGAAAATGCGAGACTCAGAGACCGCCTAAAGATGATAAAGAAGCAGAAGAGATGGTAGAAAATGTCACAGCATTCAGGCGCTTTTTAGACAGCCAGCACTCACCTGCAGGCTGACTCCAGGAAAGGAGGGTTTGGATGGGTCTGAAGGTGTTCAATCTGCTCTCCACTCCCCTGACCTCCTCATCAGCTCACGGCTGGACTGGGCTTGCACCAGCCTTTCCAGCTTGTTCGAATGAGCAGATCAAAGTCCGGAGGGGCTGGATGGCCTGGAGAGCACAGCTGGGAATCCAGCACCTTCACCTCTGTGGAGACCACACCACTGGAGCTTCCACCTCCCCTCCTCTTGGTGATGACCTCCCATGCCCTGAACCTGCTGGTGGGCGCGTGACCTCATGTAACGCTTGAATTTGGGGATTCCCCGCTGACGTTCCTGCATGCCCCCGTCCTGTTTGCATCACCGGATCTGCCGCATCTTCCCTCCCTTCGACCAGCTGCGGGTGTGTGATAAGAGCCTTTTGCACCACTGGAAGAGGCTCTATCTTCCTGCGACGGGATGCTCAGAGCCCTCCTGGGTCAGCAGCACCACGTGCACCTCCAGCCCGGTGGGATGTACCTTGGGGACACCAGTCACAGACCAGTGGCCATGCTCTGGGTGTCCAAGCTGCATACTGTGATGAGGGAAGAGGTCTGGCTCCTTACAGGCGCTGCTTGCCCAGATTTGTCATGCTGCCAATGGGTTTCAGGGTGGAGATGTTTTCAGGGCATGTGTTGCCTCGATTGCTCAACTGGTAAATGGAGGAGAAGGACCTGGCAGTCCTGGTGGACAAGCAGCTCTCCATGACCAGCAGTGCGCCCTTGTGGCCAAGGCCAGTGGCATCCTGGGGTGCAGTAAGAAGAGCGTGACCAGCAGGTCAAGGGAGGTTCTTCTCCCCCTCTGCTCTGCCCTGGTGAGGCCACATCTGGAGTTCTGTGTCCAGGTCTGGGCTCCCAGTTCCAGACAGACTGGGAACTACTGGACAGAGTCCATCGGAGGGCTGTGAGGATGAGTAAGGGACTGGAGCATCTCTGGCATGAGAAAAGGCGGAGAGAGCTGGGGCTGTTTAGTCTGGAGAAGAGAAGGCTGAGAGGGGATCTGATCAACACTTATAACTATAAAGGGTGGGTGTCTAGAGGAAGGGGCCAGACTCTTCTCAGTGGTGCCCAGCGACAGGACAAGGGGCAACGGCCACAAACTGGAACACGGGAAGTTCCACCTGAACATGAGGAAAAACTTCTTCCCTCTGCGGGTGACCGAGCCCTGGGACAGGCTGCCCAGAGAGGTTGTGGAGTCTCCTTCTCTGGAGAGATTCCAAACCCTCCTGGACGCCATCCTGTGCAACCTGCTCTGGGTGATCCTGCT